CACACATGGGAGGCTGCAGCACTGGAAATACTTGCCGTGGTGTTTCGGCCGCGAGGCGGTGCCCAGGACTGCGCCTGCCCTCCGGTCCCCGGCAGGCAGGCAGGCACCGCCTGTCCCGTGGGGGACTGGGGCGGAGGAACAGCCCCAGGAGCTTCAGCCCCGGCTGTGATTTTGGAAGGCCTGTAGGAGCTGCCCTGCAATAGGGCAGGCTGCAGTGAGCTAACGCTTGGTTTATTGGAACAAGTACTGGAAACCAGTGCTGCCTTGTGCTGTCATACCCTGGATTTATTTATTTATGAATTGTTCTTTTTCATTAGCATATGTGCAGTGACTGAAGCTGCACAGATTTAGCTGTGTCCAGTCTGAAGCAAATATCCTTAAAATAAACACGGGAACAAGCCTGAAGAACGCTGCTACCGTCCTTCATTTTTACTGTAGACCTTTTCCTTCCCCTCTCGACTCTGATGTGATGAAATAAAGCATCTTATTTTCTTACATTGCCAGGGGCCCTAACTAAAAACAACCCCCTACTGATCTTTGCTGCTCAGAAACAGGGAGTTTTATTGGCTTTAGTTATTGCATTTTATTCGGAGCCTTGTATGTGGGTGAGTGAGGCCCCCGGAGGGATTCGCCGAGTATTTGCATTCCGTTTGCGTCTTCCCAGCGCTGGCTGCTGGCGTATTTAAGGCACAGATACCAGACGTGTGATCCAGAGCTGATGTGGCTTGTTTGTGCGGAGGGAAGGCAAGACCCGGAAAACGGCCCTGAGATTGAAATTGTAGGATGTCATGGGAACTGACCCATGGGCACGGCTCCTGGCCAGCAGCGAGCGGACCTCTGCTGTGCCGGGTGCAGAGGAGAGGAGAGGAGCTCGTCCAAGGACGCTGTCTGTGGGTATTTTGGCCGTATGGTGTCTCGCGGGGCCGGTTCGTACAGCCCAGCGAGATGCCTCCTGTAGGCAGGCAAGGCTGTCCAGCCCAAACTGGGGGGCGGACCTGCTGGGGCAGGTCAGAGAGCCTGGCCGCGAGATCCGGTTTGATGCCCTGGCTGCGGCGTGCAGTTCCCGTGGAGCTGGTCAGTAGCAGGGCCGGATTCTGCCGCGTTACGCCCCAGCCGGTGCGCGGCACGGTGACTGAGCTCTCTGGGATTTCAACAGCTTTGCCTGCGACTCTGGGGACAAGGGGGTGGTTTTCTCACCTGTCCAGTGGCAGGTATCCTCTACAGGAGAACGACCACAGCAGCGGTTGGAGAGGGATTTTTTCTGGCTTCACGTTGGGTCACACACAGCTGGATGTTTGCCTCATTTTAAGTTCTCATGAGTTCTGTAGACTAGCTAAAATCATCAAAATGGTGAAAATGATGACCAAATGGCTAAAACTTGTCCCCTAGGTTTCAACAGCTCAGCGTGGCTGGCTCTCAGTTTCTTTCTGCATCAAAACCTGCAGCTCATCACGCGTGTCCCGCCCTGGCGGCGGCGCGCTCTGAGCCGCGCGGAGGGGCTGAGGCAGCGCTGCCCTGCGGCAGGGCGTTCGGCAGCTCCCAGCCCCCTCCTCGGCTGAGGGGGGGGAAAAAAAGGCCCACGCTTGGCCGGGAGGAGCTATAAAACTCAGCGTTCCTGAGATAATTAGTATGTTGGGAAAGTGACAGGAGAGAGAATCAAGCAAAGCCAAGGTCAGCGTCTGCTAATTGAGAATCAGCACCTTGTGTCAGCCTGAGCCCCGGCTTGGAACTGAAACGTACCCTGGGAGAGACCCAGGCAGATAAAAGGTGATCGAGTTACCCAGATAGCAACTAAAGGGATTTGAGCAGGAGTTTAAAGTTTCATTCCAGCTTGACTGATAAAAGGGGCAAAATCAGAGAAAACGGTGAAGGGAGGGCAGGTGCTTTGGTCCCAGGAGGGACTCCTGCCTGCGCAGCTGCCAGAGAATTCAGACTTAGCAGGCCTATGAGGGAGGGGATCTTCTGGCTAAAGAAATAACGAGCGACATGTTTTTCAAAAGCTCTTCCCCTGCCTTGGGCAGGAAGGTCGTGGCAGCGTGCCGGCCTGGTTGCGGCCCGCAGGAACGCGGGGCTGGCGGAGCTGCCTGCAGCCCACAG